TTGTTGTGGGCTGCAAATTGGAGGAAGTTGGCGTTAGACCCTTGCAAGAACAAAACTTCAACAATTGAAAAAAAAAAAAAACAATGAGGCAAGCCTGCATGGCAATAACGCCTGACTCGAATCCTTAAAACCTAATTGAAAAAGCCTCCTAGAATTCTAACCCGGACTTCCCTAATATAAGGCTCCTTATAAATGTCATTCAGTAAGCCCTTTGTCCTAGCTAACAGCGACAGAAGATTGCGAAGGGAGGTCAGTTCGCGGGACATGCTTAGTTTTTGTTATTTCAATTGGTTATGCGTGTGTATAAATAATGTATTGCTTAGAAAATGTATTTCTTGGAAAACCTAAGTATGTTTTCTAGCAAGCCTGAATATTTGACATCAAATGAAATGGCTCATGCTCATTTTGAAAGTAATATTTGGTTAAACGTATGTGGTTATTGAAGAATATTTTGTCATGGTACTGTCCGAATCCATAGTTAAGGGTTAGATCTCTCGCTTTGTAAATTATGGGTCGAAGAAAACAATAAAACTATTTGTATTATCTGCTTTTTAGGATCTGCAGATACTGCTGGTAACAAGATCAGGATGTCCCTAATCTTTGTTGAAATCACCAGCATAAAATATCTACATTATATTGGTGAAGCTGATGGGCATCAAAGGTCGCCTGAGTAGATTGCCATTTACTTGACTTGGTGGCACTATTAGGGCTGCTATTAAGAAAGGGGGGCCCTGATCTCAGGAAGAATGTTTTGCCCTCTTTGACTGTGAGACCTTGCAATGTGGTGAAGGATTGTATCTCCATGTATTTCAGAGGTCACATGCACTTTCATTGGGTTGGTGTCGTCGTGTCTATTATCCTGTCTTGCTTTTAACAGATGTTGTGAGACGTCTATTGAGGAGCGGGATGGCAATCTGAAATTTGATAATCCGTCATTTTAGAACTGTCTTATGGCTGTTTTCCCCAAAAAGCTCATATTTGAATGGATGCTTTAACTTCTGGTGACTATATCTTCTGTTTGGTTTGGGTAAATCTGTGACAGACTTGCAGTGCTTATGTAGAGGCAATCAGACAACTTTTTCAAGCAATGATTTTCTTTGTGAGTTAGGGGGCATAAAGAATGTATAAATATCGCTGGTTCAACTCTAAACAGTGTCCTGATTTGTGCATATTGATGTGCATATAATGATGGATGCTTCTAGAGCCAGCTACATAAATGTTATCGGATATATCTAGTTGGATGTCTCTTAAATGGGATCCAACTTTTCGCTGTTCGATACATCTTCTGTTTGCTCCTTGTCCTGTTTTTATTTTCAATGGTTGATATATCATTATTCCCATGATCCCAGCCTTACTTCCTATCAACTACTGTACTTTGTCAATATTGAAACATGCCTTTTGCTTTATCTTTTTTTGTTTCTTGGCTGTGAATTTTGTTATTAGTTTGATTTCTTTTAAGATGTGGAATGCCCGATGTGATATAATTGTTGCTTTAGAAAGATTTGATTAAATAAATTTATTATAAAAATGAATATCATGTGCCTTCTGAATGTTTAAGTCCTTCATTTCTGGTACCCTGAAAAACATTGCTTTCCCCAGACTTAAGTCATGTATCTCCCATAACGCACAATGGTTGATACAGTTACAAGTCTGGAAAATTAACAGAGTCCATCGTTACAGATGTGCTGGCCTTTTTAGTGCTGACATCTGCTCCATTGGGGCTCTACAATATTTACAAGACGTTATTCTTCTTTGGTCATTGATTATATTTAAAATAGTCATTACTTCTCAAGTTTCTGTTAGATCATTGTTTTGGTTTTATCAAATGGGGGGGGGGGTTAAAATACTCAAATTATTGAGGAATATCACAAATCCAATTATCTGTTGGGGCTAGTTAAAATGTTTACAAAGAGAATTCTAATACTTGTTAGCTTACCTACCTAATTTCAATTGGCTCATGATATGTAACATGATTCCCCTGCTCTTCATTTGATTCAAACTGATTATCTTTTTCTTCAGCTACAGGTACAGCCATAACCCGACCAATTGAAGGCCCGGGATTGCTGCAGTCAGTGTAATCATTATGTTAGAGCTCAGAATAGCTAGAAAGATTGCCATTTATCAAATGGATCTTGTTGACTTCTCAACTATTTTTTTTCAATATCATAATTTTCCATTCGACGGTTAAGGCAACACAGCTGTCTTCGACTTTTGATTCCGACTACAGAGTTTGGGATTGAATGATGTGAAATATTCTACTTGTTGATTTATCCATTAGCAAAGAAATATTAAATATGACTTGAAATTATTTGATTTCACTTTAATTTATAACTTTTAAAAGTGAATCATGAACTTTACTACCCATCACATTGTAAGTTCAACCGAAATTAACGTTGAGTTACATTTGATTTGTCTAAATTATAATAATTCCTTTCAAGGTTCAAGTGATTTCAGCACGCTGCCAAAGGATTCGAAGCATTCACGAGTATCTGTATTACTTCCTACTCGTTTTTCTATTCCATGTACCCTTCAATTGGAGCAGCCAGGATTTTACCCTGTTCGAAAGTTTCAACCCAATAAGTCTTGAATGGGTTCATTGGACGATGTATGACTCCTCTGTCAAAATTTTCTAAATCCTGACTATGTTTAGCTTTTAACTTGTTCATTCTTTGGCTATGAGCCACGATCACATTGAATAATACACCGCAAAATAGTCTGTATTTATCTGACGTGCTTGACATGTGAAGTCGCAATTGAGATGACTTGAATACATTTTGCGAAAAACTATATAGCTGATTCCATCAATTACATCAATTAAATGTTTTATAAAAAGTCTAACAAACTACTCTTCCGGTCTTAATTATAAGATCCAATTGACTTATTTGAGGAGGTTAAGGAAGTAAGTTAAATTGGTTATTTATAATAAATAAGTGTTGTCATTCCTAAAATATCCTTGCTAATTAAGTATATTGGCTAAAACTATCATTATTAGAAGGATTATCTTGGAAAAAAATGCATAAATATAAGAGATAAAATGGATTGGGGTTTTATAATTAGGACCAAATAAAAAGTCAAATGGGGTCTTATAATAAGGACTGGAGGAGTATTATTCTTGCCCGTGATGACATGATTTAAATTAGAAGTATTATAATTATAGACTAAGAATTGAATTGACATTAAGTTCAACTTTAAGGATCAAAACAATTAACCAAAAAATGTGAATCAAAATTATGAAATATATTTAATAAACAATATCAAATCAATAAAAAAAAAAAAACTTAACATGTGGATATTTGTCCTATGAATTCAGGAGACAACACCTGGATGTTAGTTGGCATCAATGAAGTGGAATCATGATGGCCATGTCGACGGAGATGCTCCATGAAGCAAGTGAACACATCCTTGTGAATATTGCAATGGTTTCAATAATTAGTCATTTTCTTAGTGGAGATCATGAAAAAGTGGACGGTCTTTGCTGTCGTTCCTTGCTATGTACTTGAAACTACAAACAAAACCAGAACGTGATTCCAATTTCCCAATCGCAGGATTTATTAGACAAATGGAGGCGTACAGTATTCCTGTCAGTTCGTAGCCTGTGACTTTCAGGCATCTCAAACGGTTTAAATCCTTCTGCACTAGGAAAAATATAAAAATGAAAAATAGAACTTTGTTTTTAAGACATGATTGCCTGATTATAATCAATCTAAATTCATCAAGGCCTTTGCCAGCGATGGCAGCATGTGAAGGCGGCGCAGCAAGTCAAGTTTCCAGCAAACCCATGTGAGGTCATGTCTTATGCTGAATCGATGGCAGACATAAATAAGGCTTTCAGTCTCCAATCCATTTAGTTCCTCAAACTGAGTTATTTTCTAAAAATGGGTAAAATTCTTGGGTATTGTTTGGGTTTCTTGTGCCTTTTGATTCCTCTTGCTGCTGCAGATTGGAATATATTGAACCAGAGGACCCGTAATGGGTTGAAGATCAGCTTGAAGAATTATTGTGTGAGTTGGCGAATGAATGTTGAACTGCATAACATTAGAGACTTTGAAGTTGTGCCTGAAGAATGCACATACTTCATTGGGAAATATGTCAGATCCACTCAGTACAGAGTCGATTCAGAAATTGCCACTGAGGAATGCTTGGTTTATCTTAGCACCAGCTGCAATCTGAAGAAAGACTCCAGGGACGCTTGGATTTTTGACATAGATGATACTCTGCTTTCAACAGTTCCTTACTACAAAGAAAACTTATACGGGTAACTTTGATTCAATCTCATCTACTAGTTCTTCTTGGCCACATTACATTAAGTGCTGTTTGTTTGTTGTCATTTTCACTCTAATAGCCTTGGTTTCAAACAGAAAGGCATATACAATAGCATAAACTATGGTATTACACCCCACTTATAAAATGACAATGTGACAGACGGTTCCTTGAGTTCTTAGTCAAGCACTGTGAATGATGGGCTTTCTTGATTAAAAACAGGGGAAATAAATTGAACTTGACATCCCTAGAGGAATGGATGAGCAAAGCCAAGGCTCCCGCTCTTGATCACTCCTTGAAGCTTTTCAATGAACTGAAGTCCAGAGGAGTTCAGATCATTTTGGTTTCTGCAAGGAGAGAGCATCTCAGAGCAGCCACCATTGACAACCTTGTCCGGGTTGGTTATCATGGCTGGGCTGGTCTTGTATTGAGGTCAGTACATCCCTTTCCTTCCTTTAGTATATCCCATTGCTACTGTATATGTTCTTACCCTCTTTGATTTCATTTTCTGGCTGGTGTTTGAATTTTTGCAGAGATTATGCTGATGAATTGGTATCAGTACAGAAATACAAGTCTGATGCGAGGAAAAAACTAATCGGTGAGGGCTATCGCATTTGGGGCATTGTTGGGGACCAATACAGCAGCATTGAAGGGCTTCCAAGCGCTGGAAGGACATTTAAACTGCCAAATCCAATGTACTATGTTGCCTAATATGCTACGTAACATAATAGTATTCTTTTCTACCCTTTTCTGAGTCTCATAAAAGCAGCATCTGATGTGAGAAATAAGCTCCCATTTAAAGGAAACAGAAGCCAGCCAGCTGGGTTTTCTTTATGCCTCTTCATTGTAGAATTTGTTGTCTCAAATTGCAGAAACTGAATAAAGTAGGTAAGTTTAACATTGTAGTGGCATTTCACTGATATGAAAAAAACTACATTACATGAACCAGTTACAAATTAAAACGAGTGGTAATACAGGACTGTGAAGTGATGGTATTGAACTATCAGAGCTCATGGATGAGTCGATCTCAAAGCTAATGTTCCAAGATTTTCACATCAGATGCCATGAGTTCACCTTTCATTTACAGCATCAATCGCTAATCAGACCAATCAAACCAAACAGCAGAGTCTACCATATACTCCTAATTGCTTCAACCCAAGTTACCTGCCCGCATTTTGGCACAATATTGAAATAAACTCCCATCATAGCAGCGCCTTACTGCTTCTTTAGAAAGTAAACCTTCACTGTCTCTAGCAAGAAGGTACAGATACCCCCATTCCATTTTAGATACAACCCTAAAAACACATTCCATTAGTATGTTTCAGACTTGAGAACTTTCAAGGGCCAAGAAGCTTTCATGTGAGGAATGCTGTCATTTTAGTTCCATATTGCCATTTATATAAAGTAAATCAACTATTAACAAAATACCATATGACAAGGCAATTGAAAAAAAGGTATACATATTTACCAGCCAAAGGGATCAAATGCATTTCGATTTCCCTCGGTCATTTCCCAGAGCTCTCCAAGTGTGAGCTTGTCAGGCACTGTGCGAGCATACTTACTAAACATGTGCTCTAGATTTGCTGGTACGTAGCTGCAGTTTCATTAAGCCATATTGTCAAACGCTCGGTAATCAAATTGCGTGCTTGACATATTGTGACAACTAGCTACTCATAATTGCCTACCGTCCTTCCGTATCATAAACTCCTGCGTCACTCCCATGCTTTATTCTGTGAATGTTGTGTATATATATCGGAAACAAAAGAGAAGGTATCCAACTCTGCAAAATTGCATTTTTCTTACTGTTTATATATTCCATAGGCTTATAGCCATTTGTGCACTCCGAAGTTCAAACTTAAATTGTATGGTAAATGCATATATTACTCTTAAACATGATTACAATTGAAGGAACAATGGAACAAAGTAGGCATGAGGAACTAAATCACCAAGGGAACTTACAGAAGATAGATCAAATTTTAGATCACATTTCTCTGTTTTTTTTTTTTTTCCCTTTCTTGTTTTCTAAGATGAGTTGGATGAATGACTTACAGGCTGAGTAGGATAGCTCATAGACAAATTGACGCAAACTGCCATAAGGAAAGAGGCAAAGATGTTAAATCCAACTGCTCGCAGCCCTGAACATGTCAAAAACAGATTTTTGAGAATCTATTTTTAACAAGTTAAGCATGACGTTTTCTTTTTTTTTTTGGGGCGGGGGGGAGGACGACCGTGCGCTACCCTTGTAAGTTTTAGGACAGTTGAAAAATCATAATGGCTATCAGCAAACAACAACAGCTCTTAAATCTTACCCATGTAAGTTTCCCAAGGGTAAACAATTCCATTGTCATCTCGATCAAAAAAGGCACAGTGCTGCTGAAGAACAGTCAAGTTGTGGTGCCTATGTTGTGGAGTACCATGTGGGTGTCTTGTGTCGGGAGCTGTCAATGCTCTGGGCATGTCTGCCAACACATGGACCCATGAAAAACGAAGTGTTATGTTAGTGAAGGCAGTCTGTTTCTTTTTCCACAAAATTGAAAAACACAAAAAGGTCTATGAGAAAGATGAGCAATGAAATGAAACTACTTACATGGCTTGGGGAGAAAAGGTTCCAAGTCATCTCTGACCCTTCTCTGTGCAGTAACGGGTGCATTGTAAGCCTCAGTTATGAGTGATTCCCTTTCTATCTCTCCTTCCATTATGTTTGAAACTCTTCTTCCTCAAGCTTTCTTTGGCTACAATACTCAGGGCTAGTATATATGCTATACTTTTTGAAGAACATGAACGTTCATTTTAGTTGCAGATAATGGGGTTGAGAAGCAGAGAAGAGAAGGTTCATCTAGATGTACACAAAAGGCAAGAGACAGCAAAGCTCCACAGATTTACGTGGCTTGCATGCGTAATTTTATGATGCATATCTGTTGAATCTTTTACAGTGTTCATGCATGTACATGCTGTCTTTGCTGCTTATGCTCTGAATTCTACATTCCCATCCTTTTCACATACCTAGCATGAAACTGACGTTTTTGGAGGTGTCACTGGTTCATGTCTAAGCATTATTATTAGGCCTACATAAGGAATAACTTTCCCAGATTAATACTTCTTTCTATGAAAGAAATTGTTAGATTGATTAATTCTATATTTTAAATTATTAAGTTAGCAAATTATCCTTTCACTTCTTGGAGTAAGAGTTTGTGCATTTTACGAAATCATTAGCAACTGTTGAAAAGTAAAACTGGGAATATATTGGACAAGAGTCAAGAAACACATAATTTCAGAAAATAATAAACAGTGATATTTTTATACATATAAAGATCAATTGTATTTCTTCACTAAATCTAATTTTTATTTTTTTGACCAGCACTTCACTGAATCTAATTTTACTTTTAGAACCATCGAAATTCAATTAAAAAAGGCCTCTCGATTAGAATAACTTTTTTCATTATAATAGTTATTAAAAGTATCCCTTTAACTCAAAATAATACTAAGGCAACTAAAATTACAGGTGATATAGCAGCCTTAAGCATAATATCTCTCTAAACTTGTAATGAGCTAAGGATCAAAACTCAAGTCATGACAACCAATATTACTTTTTTTTTTGTTGCTAAAGTATAGGCATCTTTCTATTGAAAGCAATCATATTCGAGGCATTATCTGGTACTAAATGTAGGCATCTCTTCCAGCTGGGATTCGAATCTAGGTTCATTACGTTGTGAAGGACTAGTTTTTTTTACTAGACTCAATCCTAGTACCAATATTACAATTAGTGCTGGGACATGAATCTTTCTTGATGATATTCCTTAACATCTTTGGGCTATATAGTCATATGCCCAATATGAGGGTTTAGTCTTAGACCCATAAAGAGCCCAAAAGCGGGGGAAGAACAATAATATCTGGTCATTAAACCTCAGATTTGTCAGCCTTTGTTCTCCGCGGAAGGGATGGCGAGCGAAGCAGTAGTTGAAAGTGCTGAAGCTGTGGCCGCGTCGACGGAGGCGGTGGCGCCGGAGACAGGTTCCAAGCATACACTGGATAGAAAGTGGACTTTTTGGTTCGATAATCAAACAAAGTCTAAGCAAGGTGCTGCTTGGGGAACCTCGCTTCGCAAGGTTTACACCTTTGACACCGTCGAGGAGTTCTGGTGGTACGTTTTCCTATCGCGTGATTTTTTTTTTTTCATTTCTTTTTATATTTTTTGCGGGAGATTTAGCTGGTCGTTATGGATTCGGAGAATTTCAAGGGCCGCTAGACGAAAGTTTGATGAGATCATAGATCTCCTGAGGTTGTTTTGTTGGGAGAGGCTCTGTTGATCCACCGTCTCGAAGTTTCTGTATGTTTTGTTTAGAAAAGTTTTTCATATACAAAGCATGGGATCAAATGATGCTATGGGGTTTTAAGAGATTTCTGTTGTTACTCTTTTGCATCAGATTTGCTAATAACAAGACATTTGTAACGTAATATCCTCCTGTAGTTTGTATGACCAGATATTTAAGCCCAGCAAACTGCCTGGCAATGCGGATTTCCACCTGTTCAAAACTGGAATTGAACCGAAATGGGAAGATCCTGAGTGCGCTAGTGGAGGAAAGTGGACTGCGGCCTGCAGCAGAAAGGCTATCTTGGATACCATGTGGCTTGAAACTGTAATGATATTGCTGGCCATTCTGTTCTTTTGGCAAAATACATGAGAATCTTATATACAGTTTTTTTTAATTATTTGATTCTTGTTCTATAGTTAATGGCTTTGATTGGGGAGCAATTTGATGAGGGTGAGGACATATGTGGTGTGGTTGCCAGTGTGCGCCAGAGGCAGGACAAAATTTCATTATGGACAAAGACAGCAGCAAACGAGGCTGCGCAGGTCTGGTTTCTTTCTAACTAATACTTGCAACGTCACTTAAAGTAATTTGTTTATAGTATAGCATCCTTTTATGTTGTAAAATCCATCGATAGTTGAGTTTATGTTGAACTTCTCAGAATGGACGATACCTATAGTCATCTCATAGGAAAAGTAAATGATTTTGCCGCTTTCCCAAGCACTGCCCCGTGTTAGAAATTACATAATTGTTTTATATAAGTTCAACATCGCCCCTGGGGGTTGGGGAGCACACTCTTCTGCCATTTTTATTCATCTTTGCATGTTGGTGGGGAAGTTGTTTTTATTTTATTTTATTTTATTTTTCTGGGTGGGGGTGGGGGAGAGGGGAGCATCTCCTCAGATCCGTCTACGACTATATGCTGGCATGTAAAAGCCATCCTGTCTTCTTCATGTAGTTGACTTGTTATTACTAATGATTTGGGCTTAACCATGATGTCCTCATGGTCTAATGTAATTGCATAAATTGAGAGAGAGTCAAAACCTTTGAATATGGAGCTGGTACTATTTCAAAATCATTTGGGATCTCCATTAAAGAAAATGGAAGATTTGTGATTTTGGAAACTGGAAAGGAGCTCACTATATGCCAACGATGATTTTGCTATAACTGGAATTTGATTTGGTTAATGATGCATTAGTTTTATAGGCAGCAATCTTTTAACTCCGGGAAAGACATGCAACTGAATGGGAAAGATTGAGAGTCTTGGGTAGACTCGGTCTATCTTGATTAGATTTGTGAATTTCTCATGTCTTAGGCTCTTAGCATCCTTCTTTCAATCTTTCACCAGGAGACAAGTTTAAGGGTATGGATATAGCGTGCTTGTTTAAATTGAATATGAGATAAATGGACGTGAATTATGTATGTATTAGGACTCGAAGTATGTCTAGTTTAGGAGTGGGTCCCTGATTTTTGTTCCATCCCTTTTCTCCTGCCTAGCAAATTTTACTTGTTCTTGAAAGAATCTAAATTCAAGAGTGAATTATTTGTTACAGCTCTTACTCTTCCCTATACTGTCAGGTTGTCTTCTCAAGGGTGTATGTGTCCGATGTCGTATTCCAAATTTTATCAATAACTCTACAGTGCATTTATGATTGAACGGCCTGTTTATATTTGTTTATGTGTCTTTTAATATCAATTGATAACGTAGTGTCCCTGCGGATTCAACGAGTTCCAGAATTGTATTGATTCTGTTCTGACTAGTTACATCTCTTCTTTGCCAAAGTCAGTGATATGTTTTGTTCATCCGATTGTGAAGTTAGTTTACCAAAACTCATCACGTCACTTTTGATGTGAGATTGTTACGGTTTTGAAATGTGTGCAGATGAGCATTGGGAGGAAATGGAAGGAGATCATTGACGTCAATGATAAGATCCATTACAGCGCTCATGTATATTTCTGCTCTACTCTTTTTTTTTTTTTCCAGATTGACTATCAAATAATATTATCCGTAATTTAATTTTCTCTACATGGTGTAGGATGATTCGAAGAGGGATAGATCAGCAAAGAGTCGATACAGTGTGTGATCTCTTAGTGGATCGTTCCTTGCTTTTATGCCAGTCTTTTAACCTATTTGTGCCATGTGTATTAGAGCATAGATTTTTGGTTCAAACATTAGTTTCCTTTGTTTTTTTTCCCTTGCTCTCTTCTGGATGTATTACCAAAAGAATATTGATTTTTGTAGCACTATAGAATGTTTTGCATCAACATGGACCGCGATTTGTACTGATTCTGTGCAGTTTTTCTTGTTCATCCCCCCCCCCCCCCAAACAAAAAGTTTGAAGAATCACTCAAGCTCCTTCTGAACTGATGCAAATGAGTACATCGGTGAAGGGAAACAGAACGGGAGTTCATTTTGAGGCCAAATTCTAGATGCATGGTGTGTTTGGTTTCATATTGAACTATGGTTTTTGGTTATTTTACTCTTAAAATCAGACTAACATAAATCTGCGTTAGCAATCAAGTCAACCTGATGAGTCAGAAAAACCGTTATATATGTACTAGTTCTGATTTTTAATATAAAAATTAGTTGATTAATTTGAATAAATTAAAAAAATTAATTAAATTAATTATTTGTGATAAATAAGTGTTGTTTTTCTTAAAGTATTTTTATTAATGAAGTATATTTGTTAAAAGTATCATTATTATAAGAATTATCTTGGAAAAAAATTAATAAATATAAGAAACAAAATGGATTGAGGTTTTACATTTAGGATTAAAATAAATATTAAACAAACTCTTATATTAAGGAGTGGAGTTATTTCTTTTATTGCTTGTAATTTTATGTCAATTCAATGAGACGATGAATAAATATCAGAGGGATAAAGGTCAAATAAAGTGGATGCCATTTATTGGATGGCAATAGATGAAGGGCCTTATTAATTTGATCTTTTGTATATAAAGAACAGAATAAGACAAGTATAATTGAAGAATGAAGGTTGCATGAGTGGAGATGAGTTCCTAGTTTACATTCTCATGTGAAAAGGTGACATTTATGAAGTTCAAACTTCAACTCTTCACCCCATGAAGATGATGATTACAATTTGCTAAATCCTTTATGCAAGGAATCCAAGCCTTTCTCCATTCTTCTTGGCCAACCTAATCAGTCCTTGTCTCTGTTTTGCATCTGCTCCTATTGATTTGCAGAACTCCGTTATTACCTGACACACAATTCAAACCATATTAGCAAATTCTGCATCTCGTCTCCTCCCTACCACTCAGTTTTTGCCACCTTCTCTGCCTAAAATTCAGCATGACCAGATTTTAAAAACACTAGCTGCTTCAAACAAAATTGTTGAAAAACCACATTGTTACGTGCTCAAAATCACACTATAGTGCAGCCATGAAAGGATTCTTTGAAGTTGGGGGGCTTTTTACACTTTCTAACG